ATATTAAAAACATAATAATAACATTTTTAACAAAATATTTATTTAAAATATAACATATCATATATGTATATTTAAAACAAGATAAAAAAGAATATTGTTATATTTTATATATATTAAAAGAATAATATATTAATTTAAAACAAAATGGTGCGAAATAGTTTTTTTTTAAAACTTAAATATTTTTCCAAATGTTAGATATATTATGTTATCTTTTATATATATATATATATATATATATATATATATATATATATATATATATATATATATATATATATATATATATATATATATATATATATATATATATATATATATATATATATATATATATATATATATATATATATATATATATATATATATATATATATATATATATATATATATATATATATATATATGTACTAGCGTTTAGACGTCAGTGTCCGTTTGTCCGCTTTTTTAATGAGCACATCATAGAAAGATAAACGTGTGTATATTTTGTATGAATTTTTTATCATATTTAGAATTAAAAATAATATTTAGATATTTTCAAATAATCTTAAAATCGAGATGATAAATGTGTATATATTAAAATACTTTAGTAAATTAATTATATATATTAATGTTATTATTATTTTAACATATACTGAATTAAAAAAATTAGATTAAAAAAAATAAGTTGTTTAAACATACTAATAATGTTATTACATTTTAAAAATATAAACAAAGATATTCTAAGTTTATGCAATAAATGAAGCATATAAAGTACTATTAATTCCTTTGGTTAATAAATATATCATAATGGATATTTTTTAACATATACAATTAGTCAGGATTTCTTCATTGATAAGAATGCATTTTTTAGTTCCACCATTCAATTTTACACCATGCTTGTTCTATTCATAAGAAATGTCAATATTATAAGAAGGTGAAATTATAATATTAAGATATAATAATGGATTGAAATCGGGAAAAGCTAATAAAAATAATAAATGAAGAATGGGTAATGCTAACTTGTACTCTAGGAGCATAAGTTAAGAAATCTACTTATAATAAAGTTGTATTGAAAAAAACAATTTAAAAATTAATTTTATACTTTAATTAAAGTCTATACACAATTTTTAAAATAATATTTTTTAATTTAGTTTTTAATTTGTGACTCAAAGGCACAAGTTAGCATTATCAATTAAGAAAATATATAACAATGGAAGAAAATAATAGACGACATGCATTTTATAAAGGATGTGTTTAGAAGAATGTTTATGAATATGTTCTATTGCACTTATAGACCTTAGAGCGCACTTAGGTCAAAAATATAAATAGACACTTTTTGTGTGGAAACTTTATGATATGCATTTCTCAGGTTTATTTGTCAGTTGTATTTAATGCACACATGCAATAAATTATAAATATTTTTTTTTCCTTCTCTCTCAAATTTTAAATTAAATATATTTCACAAATATTTTTTTAAAATTAAATTAATTAAATTACTAATTAAACACATAAATAATTATCCTCTAGAATAATGTTCTGAAAGTTATAATTTTAATATTTAAACAAATATATCTAAAGAGATAGACAATTTAGCAATACTTATTTTGCATCCCACAATTACACATCAGTTCAAAATTGCAGAAAACAATTAATAAGAGTTTGTTGCTTAAAGAACTTGTATTTTTATAATTTGATTGAATTTTTTAAATTTAATTTGTAAATATAAAATATTTAATTACACTTTAAACAATTTTTATAAATAATTTTTATAAATATGAAATACATTTATGTGTAACTAGTCATAAATCTCTTCTTTTAAAATGATTTATTGAATTAACACAACTAGCGCCATCACTTAAACATCACACATATGCACTAATTAGATTAGCAGCAGCAAGTGCAGCCTCCATTCCATTTAGTACCTCCTCTTTAAGTTAGGGTGCAGTCACTAATTGAATTCACTGCCAATGCATTGCATTTATTTATTTATTTTGAAAAGTGAGATACTCTGAAAAATTGTGAATTATTTTGAGATTTTTTATTTTTAAAATTGGATTATTTGAATAAAAATACTTATGTTCCATGTAAATTATTTATATACTTTTTATATTCGTTAGTAATAGTTCGAGTACTTCTTGTATCCAATATTTTTGTTTTATCTAATAAATCTGTTATTCAAATTATATAAAAGTAATGATCTAGTGGTAAAGTCTAGATTATAATTTGAAGAGTGGTAGATAATTTACTCAACATTTGAATAAAAAGTTAACTACACAAATAAATTTGTAAGTGGTATCTATAAATTAATTTTTAAATCTACTTTAAAGTATATTTATATATCTAGTTATTATTAATCGTTAAATAAACTATTCACAAGATTTTAAACACAACTAGATATTGATTGTATAAATAAATAAATATATATTAGTTATCCCTTTCAAATGTCAAGTTCTGAAATTTTCATCGCTTTACTTACCAAAATACCAAAAGATTGTGTCCACTGCAAATAGCATTTTCAATTATTATTATTATTATTATTATTATTATTATTATTATATATATATATATATATATATATATATATATATATATATATATATATATATATATATATATATATATATATATATATATATATATATATATATATATATATATATATATATATATATATATATATATATATATATATATATATATATATATATATATATATATATATATATATATATATATATATATATATATATATTTTATTTTTTTTTATTTTTTTTCTAATACAACTTTTTTCGTCACGAATCAACTACCTACCCATTACAATAAAATGCCACCAAACTTACTATTTTACCCTTCAATGTATTTTTACTTATGACTACTCCATACCCTTTTTGGTAATTTACAAAATACACAACCATTGACCAATAGCATGGTCCTATTTTGCCAAGTGGCAGCAGTTTTTTTGAAAACTTTGTCTTCCCTCTTTCCCTCACTTTCTCCCTCTTTCCAATTTTCTTTCTCTCTCTCTTTTATCGTCTCCCTCTCTCTCTCACCTTCTCTCTCTTTCTCGTACCCTCCCTCTTTCATTCTCGTCATTGCTCCCTCTCTCCCGTTTCAATCAGTTCTTCCTTCTATTATGCAACCACTTTATTCTCCAGCTTGAATCCTAATACATCTCTCTGTAAGTGCATCACTTTATTTTAACCCTTTCAATTAATTTGTTTCCCTGGTTTTTCAATTCTCTCATTGTTGCTTTACACCCTTCTTATTTTCAATGTTTCTTCTCAAAATCAGATTATGCGAAGAAGAAGGATATATGCTTGTGGATTGTGGTGTTTATTTCAAACGAAGAAGAAGATGGAGATCTATTTATAGGTTGTGGTTTTGATTTGATTGCTTTCTGTATTTTTTATCCTTTGAACAAAGGGGTTTGATTTGGTTTGGGTAAATAACAATTTTTTTTTTCGTTTTTGTTTTGATTTGGATGGAGGTTTTTATTTGATTGTGTGTTATGAGATTTGGTTTTAGTTTATGTTTGTGTTTTATGGTGAAAGTTTGGAAATTTTTTAATTTCTGTGTGGTTTTTAGGGTTTTTGATGGTTTTGGTATTTGGTGAAGGTTTGAGAAAGATATGCAATCCATCGTCGCCCAAGTTGATGGTTAGCTTCATATTTCATCATTTTACATATGCTTCGAGGTGCAGTTTCTCTCACACAGCTCGGTTGGTTTTCATTTTCCCTCCCAAGTTGCGGTTTCTTGGTTGTGGTTTCAATCCACGTAATTTGTAGATGAAGCCATTTGAGAATTTATTGAAGTTTTCTTAATATGTATTTTTTGCAGGCTGCTTCGAAGGGAATGTACATTGATTGGTGTTTGGAGAGGCTTGTGAGGCATTTTACTGCTCATAAACATGGCATTTCAGGCTATTAATGTTTTTAAATATTTTTAAGTAGACTCGTGAATGATATCAATATTTTTGTGATGTGTTAGGACTTGCGATGGAGTTGATGAGGCAAGGGGCAATGCTAATTGTCTTGAGTTCACTTTTAACTGCATTGGCTTGGCCAGCTGAATTGCTTTCAGCCACTGATTTAATTGCTTTCAGCCACTGATTTCATAGACAGCACGTGGTCGATTGCTATTGACCGGTAAAATTTTATCTCTTCGTTCAGTGGAATATAAATTTTGCAAAGTCAAGAAAGATCATCTGTTTATGCTTGCGTGATATTCAGACTAAACGTTTTTCCTTCGTTTTCGGGCATAAGGTTTGACTAGGTCTCTCTGTCTTGCTCTCCTTCCTTGCATTTGTGTCCCGACTCCTGAGTTTGAACTAGTTTGTTTTTGGGGCTAAACAATTAGTTTGGTTTGAACTACAATAGGCGAGGTCATGTTAATTCATTTATAAAATAACAAGGAAGTGGGTAGGTCATCCTTCATTGTTTAGGAACCCAACAAGCCATTCTTATTGTTACTTAAATTTTGGGCTACATGCTGCAGTCTGCACCTTTATACAGAATACTACTATAAGTTGATATAGCTAATTTACATCATTTCACATTTCCATAATTAAATGACTTCTTTTATTGCTTACATTTTGAGTCTCTTATTCATAATTAAATGACTTCTTTTATTGCTTACATTTTGAGTCCCTTATTCATAATTAAATGACTTATCTTCTGCATTTCTGTTGCGTATGTGGCAGATGTTGTTAATGAAAACAAAAGAGCAGCAGTATTTAGTTGGATTACTGGTCTACTTTCTGCTTCACATGTTCTCGGGAATGTCCTGGCTCGATTCCTTCCTCAAAACTACATTTTTTTGGTACCAATCTTTGTTCACTCAGTTTTTTCTTGAGGTTTAATTATGAATCTTAATCATGGTTTATGAATTTCAGGTTTCAGTAGTACTATTGACCTTTTATCCAATTTACATGCAAATTTTCCTAGATGAAACTGTGAAAATGAATCCAAGAGTTAGGCTTCTGCAAAAAAATCGTTAGCGTTGTTAACCGAAGATACAAATCTATGAGAAATGCCGCGGAAATAGTAATTTTTCAGGTTTTTTATCTGATTTTTAGCAACAATATCTTTTATAAACTTGCATGTGATTGATTATATGTATGATTATTTTTTCAGTCCAACATTAAGAGGCATAAACTTGCATGTGATTGATTATATGTATGCTTATTAAGGCATGCATAACTCAATTGCCTAATAATGGATATTGAGCGAATGTAACTAACTGGCCTTGACGCCTCCATCAACCACCGAACAGACTTCAAAGCATCAAAATGGAAGTTGTTATATCCAGAAATGAACTCTTTAAGTCCGAATCAAAATATTGGTATGAAATGATTGATAGTTATGTCCATGCTTTCAATTGGAAGAAGCTGAACTTAAGAAATGTAATGGACATGAGGGTAGGCTTCGGAGTGTACGATAGTAGCTGCTACCTTAGTCGTGATGATTCAGATGATGTTTGGTATGGCCCCTTATAAATGTTGAACTCACCTAACTTACCTATATTTTATTCGAAGTTTTCATGATTGCTAGCGTGAAATGGAAAACAATGTCTAACATGAGTCAAAGATGTTAGATCGATTGTTCAAATATTCAAATACGAAGATTGCTGATAACCATGAAATGTTTTGCAGGTATATTATTCAGAACGAATTTTCTTATGGTTTTCACTTGGTCCTTGCAGACACAGCCAAAGAAGGTATGCTCCCAAATTGGAATGTGCACGTTTGATGGGACTCATGGTGTTAGGTAAGCCACAAAGATTATGCTATTAACTTAAAGACCTTATTGTATCTAATGCTATGAAGCATTGACATAAACAACACTAATTTGAAAGAGTAGAAGTGATTGAATGAAACTACATGGTTATCGTGTCAGTGTTGAACACTAAGACTTATCAAACACTAGACGTGCATTTAAGTCGAAGTGTCAGTGCTACATAATTCTAATGTACTACTGTTAATGCTCTTTTATTGAAATCTTTCAATTTTTCTTTCAGTATGGGTATCCAGAGTGTGGTGCCACAAACTGATAGAATATCACCGGGCGGTCATCAAGATGCTACATGTTCTGTATGTGAAATGGCTATCGTTTGGATGCAAAGCCAGCTGAAGCAGAATCAAACAGAAGAGCAGATAATAAACTACGCCGATGCGGTAATTTAGTTTTAATTTTGTTATGAGTTCTAAAATCCTACTTTCCCCTCTGAATTATAATCTCATGAGTGATATTGCAGCTTTGTGATAAAATACCTAACCCAATGGATGCTTTCTACACTCATTATAATGGTTGACGTTTCTCATCTCTTGAGGTTTCTATTTATTCATTTCTCGATTGATTTCACTATACTGTAATGAGTTTTTGTTTTTGTTTTTCTATTTATTGATTTTGTTGTGTTTGATTTGAATATATATAGGTTGAGGTGTGCCATGTTGTTTTTACATTAGATGTTCAGTATACAGGCTCCATTGGACATGCACAACCTTCTAATGCGACTTCAACTGAACAGCCAACATGTCCAGTTTGCCTTGGTAATTACATGTCCCTTCTATTATGTTAGGCTGCCTTTTATAGTGTAGCTTGCTTTCAAAATTATTTTAGAAGTATATATCAAGATGTTAAATAATAGAGCTTATGAAAAAATTGAAATGTAGAAGCTAATTTAAAGTTATAGGAGAGGATCAGTTGATTACAAAACTCAATGTTATTGCAATTTTGTAACTTGGTTTCCTATACGTGCATTTAGAGAATTTTTCAAACTCGCTCATAATGCAGTATTCATATACTTTTTGTTTTGTTTTAGATATGTTTTTTTGTTGTCAGCTTTGTTGTTGTTGTTTGTCTTGCAAGTATGGAACCTTCTGAATGAATTATTCATTGGCATATGCTAAATGTTTAAATAGAAAGTTTTAAATATTGGCCTCATTTTGTTATTTTGTAGAGTGATTAGATCAAGACACAAGTGGAATTCTTACAACCATATGCAATCATTCTTTCCATTGTTCCTGTATTTCAAAATGGGCAGATTCTTCTTGTCCTGTAAGTTGCTTCGTTTCCTCTGTCTTTTCATGTATAGGCATGAGGGTGTATATTATAGGGCATGCTCAAGAGCCGAGAGCAACTGACTGTAACTGTAGGATTGGGGATGTCTCAACAAGTTGAATGTTTTCATGTTTATAATTGATTTCAGCTGGGATTACTTGATTAGTTTGAAAGCAAGGGTTTCTTTTCCTGAAAATGTCCCACCAGGCAAGTATTTTAAAAATATTCAAAGAGATATTCTTCCAACCCATTGGTGGAATTAGACATATTTTAATGAATTACTTATGACTAATCAATGCTAATAATTTGTGATATATAACAGTTACCAGAGGAGCACTACTGCTATTTCAGTTGGTAAGTTCTTACATAGCATCTATTATTGGTATTGGTATAATTTAATTCATGGTTGCAACTTATCATCAAATTATGTTTTTTCTGCAGTTGCACCTATATGCTATGCACACTTAGCTGCAACTCAGTTGGGGCAGTTCATGAAATTCGAGGATAAATCTGAGACATCCTCAAGCCATGGTGGACTGAGTGCTGCAGGAGCTGTACCTGTCCCCCAGCTTCCAAAATTGCAGGAAAGTGTGTGCAACTCTATGTTCTTTTGTTGAAGGCTTATTCGTCTTGAATCCTGTGATAAAAGCATTATTGTTTTTTATGATAGTTGTAAGTTGTAACAATTTATGTGATAATTATCTTTTCAGATTTTGCTTTCGTTGAAGTTGCGGAGTTACAATTGTGGTTGCGGCATTACGAGCATTGTGGTAGTGACATGGGGCAAATTCTCTGATCCTATAACTACGGTGCTGACATGGGGGAATCGACAACAATGTCTGTTATTCAACCATTCAGTCTCTTCCCAAACTACATATCACCTTCTGTTTAGGATTCCACTAATGCTGCAATCTTCATTTTCTATCAGGTATTCCACTAAGATTTTGGTGTCAATATTCCTGATATTGCGAAAAATTAGTGTAAACTATTGCTAATGAAGGCTAAAGCGGTCACATTGCGTCGGGAAATACAATTTGTTTAATATAATGTGTCCTAGATTACGATCGGAGACCGATTAAATTTCTATGTTGAATGTTGTTATGCAGGGCATTGTGTACCAGATATGAAAACATGGGAAGATTATGAATATGAAGGACACATAATTTGTCTGGTTGGATTCAACTTTTTTGCAACTTTATTTATTTTCTGTTATTGCAACCATTGACATTGGTGTTTTTAATGTTTTTGAAGAAAGTGAAAGTGTGTTCACTACTTGTTTTTGATATATTTAAGCATTCTGTATTATTTCATGATACTTTGCTCGATTAATATATGGATTTGAGGTGGATTTTGGTTTGATCTTCATTGTGTGGTTAAAGGGGAGAAAATAATTGTTCATTTGTCAAAATAAATCTATGATAGGCCATAACTTCTCTTTTTTTAAATTGTAACATTTTTTAATATCTGAGAAAGTGTCAAAATAATTTATAAGAAATAAATAGATGATAAATAAATAGAGGAATTAATAGAATATTATATAGACATGATTATCACATTTGTGATACTTGGTTGGAGACAAAGGTTTGCATTAGGGAATATGACATGCAAATTTCTGAAGAGTTAATAGGAGTGAATGTTTGCGAATTGGTTGATGAGAATGGAGAGGAAAGTTGGTAGAAGATACAAAATTGACTTTTCTGTGGATCCCGTGCGGACGCACGGGTCTTCTACTAGTATAGCATAAAAGCTGTATTTCACTCTCACAAAGTTGATTCCCAGTACCCTATTTTATATTTAGTAACATAGATTGACCCCACATTAAATGAAAGTCTACATCAACAACATACTTTCATGAGTTCATCCCATCAAATTCCCCTATTTTCTAATACAACTTTTATCGTCACAGGCTACTATTAATTTGGCTTTTAGCAATATAGCATAATATTGTACGGAAAAGAAAAAAGAAAAGCCGTGAAAGATTGTGGTGATGGTAGTTAATAGCTATGAAAGTTTGTGGTGATGGTGGTTAATAGAAGCATAAATAAATTATTGTTGTAGGAACAAAAGAGGAATACAGATAGATTAAATGATAATGAGCCCAGTTTAGTGCCATTTTGAGGATAATATAGAAAACAATAATTACATAAAAGATGTTACAACAAAACACCATTGACAGTGATAAGATCTACACAAACACATATGCTGCTAATAATATATAAAACAAGTTCCTAGTTTATCAGCCTTATACTAGTACCATCCATGTCTGAAACATTATAAATGAACCCAAGACTCCTTTTTTTGATAATTTAATCCGTCAGTACTATGATAGAAACCATCTGACTTTACATGCCAATCAATTAAAATATTGGTTCCGTCCAATATGTGATCATGTGCACAGAAAGTGCCCTTCAAGTTGCCCCATTGTGCATGACATAAAATATCAGCATCAATATCTGAACCAACCATATGTGTTGACCCTGGTTCTCCTACAAATGTTCCCAGAAGTGAATTACATTCATAGTGCACAGGAGATGACACTAGAGTATGGATGTAAGCCGAACATGCTCCTGCTTCGTTTCTTGGAAGCTTGATATCAGTTGAAGCAACGCACAACAAAGATATAGAAGCTTGATATCAGTTTATTAAAAGAGAACAGTCGCACATCAATGTTACGTGAAACATAATTCAGAGCATGTGAGGATAGTATGGTCAAACATAAGACATTATAAATTCTCAATTAAACTAGAGTAGACAAGCTGACTTTGATATGAAAAATGTATACAAAATCTCTAAACACAAAATAGCAAAATGTATGAGGATAAACTGTGCTGGAGAGTTGTGAGATGAGAGTGAAATAATAAGGAAAAAAAAGTCTCTAAACACAATTTATACAAAATCTCTAATTTACAATTAACAACAAGTCAAAAATACATGCAGAAATGGAAGAATAAAACACTAGAGTGGAGAATAAAAATGTATTCGGAGTTGCGAGAGAGAAGGAAAGGCACCTGAAGTAGAATTAGAATGAAGAAATAAACATGAAGATGATGAAGAGGACAAGCATTCACAGAAAAACCTTGCAGCATATTGAAGAGAGAAGATGAGCGAAGCATTTCTGTTTGCAATTGAAAACTCTGTTGCTTTGATTGCTTCTGTTGTTTGAAAATGGGTGTTGGTGTGAAAATATATCTTCTGTTGCAGCATATAAGTGGTGGACATTTTGGAAGGGAGTGAAAATTGAATAGATTTGTGAAAATTTTAGAATGACAAACAGGGAAGACAGTGACCGTAGATGAGAGACTTTATCGACGGCTGTTCTTCTCTTGAAAGGATATAATAGATATTTGCTTAAGTTGTTTCTATACATTTTGATCAAAACAAATCTTCTTGAAAGGAATTTAACTCTAAACGTTTGCATAAACTCACAAAGAAAAAATCAACGTATTAATTACTAAAAAAAGTTAAAGGAATTTAACTCTTTAGAAATTAAACTAAAAATTTTATAAAAACAAAATCATTGTATTAGATAAATGCATAAAAGTGTGTTTAATTTTTTTTTGCAACGAGCAGAATATAATTATCTCTAATAAATGTACCATATAAAACATCAAAAATATAAAAACCCTATCGCTTTGATATTCATACCAAAGTGGATTTAGATTTTTAAAAATTACACTAAAAATTGTATATAAGAAAATCAATGTATTAGATACTATGCTCATAAAAAATGAATTTAATTTTCTTCTTTTTAAGAATATATTTAACATTATTCACTTAAATATGCCTGTCTCTAATAAATATAATCTGTAAAAAATATATATATATATATATATATATATATATATATATATATATATATATATATATATGTACAATATAAAAAAAGTAAGAACTCTATGTATTACTTCCATGTTCCAAGCATATATTTCAATCACAGAAAATATTCATCATACTACGTACTATATACATAAAAGTTAGTTTAATTTAATTTTTTAAATAATGCACGAAACATTTTTTTCCTAAGTATAATTATCTCTTTCGAAAACAATTTATAATATATATATATATATATATATATATATATATATATATATATATATATATATATATATATATATATATATATATATATATATATATATATATATATATATATATATATATATATATATATATATATATATATATATTAGTTCTACTTCTACATATTACTCTCCATTATATAAAATGTACCATCTTTTTGTCAAATAT